CAGGAGGCAACAGTTATTTTGGACAATGGCATTCGTCACCACACAGTTGTTTTGGACAATGGCGTTCGTCACACACCTAGTTTTCTAATTTAAAAGGGGAAGGTTTATTGCATTTAACAGCATTTTCACGAAACCTGGCATAGAACCAGCACATGGATGTGTTTTCGGTTTGTTTATTCGTGGGCAAGGATCGTGATCTAGAATTAGTGTGACCACGAGAGTGAGATCGAACACGAGAATACAACATAAAAAGTTTATCTACTTTTTTATTTAAATCAGATATTTGTTTCTGTAAATTATCTAAAGCATCATTTGTATCAATAGAATTAGTTAATTTCCATTTGTTGTTCATTGCTTGAAGCTAAGCATGACTTGTGCTGTCAGAGATTTTGTCAGCCATAGCTGCCGATATCAGAAGTTCGATATCAGAAGAGGCTAATATGGTTTGCATCTGGGCATTGAAGCCACAAAGATTTTAGTAATTCAGTTCCTACAGGAAGTCCCACCAGTTCTTGCATCTGTTGGAGTGAAAAAAATGGGCATTTGTCACCTAAATCAGTGTCTCTCAAAAAAAAGTTTTTAAAAAATTTTTTTCCTTCAGAGTCAGAAAAACTTCAATTAATCTTTTTATTTTTTAATGTGTCATAAGCATCAATAACTGGAGAAAGATCAATTATTTCACTTAGTGGACTTATGTCGGTCTCAATGTGGCCTGCCACAATATGATATTTTGTGACATCAGCAGTTATCCCACTGTTAAAGAATTGGCTTTCAATCTGGCCAACCAAATGCTTGGATTATCTTTCCGAAACAGAGTTACTTTAACTGAGATTTTGTTGATTTCAGGTGCTTGCTTTGAAACAATAGTATTGTTGTTAACAGACATTTTAAAATGATTAAAAACGTGTTATTCTCAAGGCTGTAATCACCAGTTTGGTATCTAGGTAACTAATAAACAGTAATTTATAAATAAAAAATTCTTTAATAAAATCAAAATATATACATAATATTAGAATGACATCAATTTCTGCGTTGAATGGAGCAAAACGTTTTGAAAAGGGGGAACATTCTCTCTTTTTGTTGCAGTTCCAAAGAGCATTCTTATTGCTCATAGGCTAGGAGGAGAAATCGAGGAATGATATCAGAATTGAAGAAATGTGGGGGGAAATGTAAAACCCCACAACTGCAGTCTCCCAAACCCAGTTTACAGCATATAACTCGTGACATTTTCCCATTCCTTTTAGGAATTTTATTTCTCATAATCTTTATTAGTTCGACTTCATATTATTATATTTTCACCCAAAAAGGCAACTTCTGGTGCCTGAAAGTGTGTTTTTCTTTTGATTTCACATTTAGAAGAGGAAAAAAAAAATTGGTTAACCATTGTGACTGTAAGTGTGGAAGTAGAGTTGTCTTAAAATGTCTTGATACAGTTCTCTGTTGAGCATCAAATACTGCTGCACACAAATGCATCTGGTGTACATCAGCCATTCAGCACAAAGGGTACTTTTCTAATATGCACCTGCCATGCAGTTTGGTAGGTTTTTTAATTATAAACAAATTCTCAGATCAGTTTATAGGTTTCCAGGTGCAAAAGGGAAGAGTGCGGCACAAAATAACATTGAGACAGTCTGTGTATTTCTGGAACTATTAAGTGATGCGAGTTTCACATGCTTGTTAAAACTGCTTTCACATACTTGTTAACACTAGAACAGCGGGAAAATCTTACCTACTGGAACGGCGGTAAGGGTTATTTTCACCCTTCGATGAAAGTACTGAAATAACAAAAGTAAAACAATTTTAAATGCCATACATTGGCACAAATATGTACTTTATATGTATTTCGTAATTTATATTAAATATAAATTACGAAATACATATAAAGTACATATTTGTTACATGATAATTTATTGACTTTTTAAAATACTGTAAATGTATCGAGTGCATGGCGATCAATTGGATCATACTACAATTACTAAAATAATCATTAATTTAATATAAGATTGATTTCATAAAATGATTCACAAATTAAAACTAATGCTAACTAAAATAAAACACAATTTATGTAATATTTTTTATGTACTTACTCGGAGGATGATTCACTCTCTAAATCCAGAAATGAGAAATGTTCCTGATGTTTCAGTTATAATTATATTGTGTGCTGATGGAATATGTTTAAGTATTTTGTTTCAATTCTATTTAATGTTTAAAATATTAGAGATTACACATATGTTTTAAGAATTAATGCAGTTGATACAAAAATAATTTTAAAAAAATTTCCAGTGCGTTTTCCGCACACAACTTTGGAACAAGATGCACAATATTCTTGAGATTTGTTTCCATTGCATCTCTGTACTTGACACTTTTTTCTCTTTATATCCATTTTTTTTCATGTGTTTTTTCTGAAGATTCAGGAAGGATCTTTGGGAGTTTTGAAGCCATATGTACCATTCTTAACTCCTCTCCTAATTTCTGTAGAAAATATCTCCTGTTAATGGTGTTTCTTGTTACACTTTTATAATTTATCCAGGCATTCAAAGCTGCATGATCCAATATATTTAAAGAGATATGTACAGGCCATCGTCTAGAATCCAATTTAACTGAATATTTTTGGCGCATCTAATCACACCATACTTTGTTGTGTTGTAAAATGCTATTGAATCGGGCAACTTCTTAAGATTGTCTTCATTTTTTTCAGTAGAATGTAATGATCTCAGTAGAAAAACGCTTTTGTTTCTTTTGCCTTGATAGATGGTAAGTGTGATATTATCATGTTCCACTATTGTCGATGAATAAAGATTACTATGCATATTTTCCAAAGATATAGGAATTTCTCTTCTGTCTTTTTTCATTGTGCTGACCGTAGTTGTATTTTTTGATTTTAGCATTTCTGCTAACTTAATGCTAGTAAAATATTTATCCATGGTAATATTTCTCCCTTTGTTTAGATGTGGCTCCGTTAATTTTATGACAACATTTTCAGACAAATGAATTGAGGATTTGCTGTTTCATCTTTTCCTAGTTAAGGAAATCCATTCAAAAGGTATTTATTATCAACGTCGACAGATAACCAAAATTTTATTCCAAATTTGTCAGGTTTATTAGGCATATATTGTGTAAATCTACACGTACCTTTAGATGGGAATAATTGTTCATCAACTGTATTATTTTGTCCTGGCTGGTAGCACATTTTGCAGTTTTCAATAAATTTGTTCCATATGTCTGATGCAAGAGCAAATTTATCAGTCTGTAATCGAGTAGATCTTGTTGTCTTTTCATTGAACCTTAAAAATTGTTTTATTTCTTTGAATCTATTTCTTGATATAGTTTCTTTGCAAAATGGTATTCTCCATGCTTCGGACCACAAGGAATATAAATCTAAGCCCTTTGCTCCTATTACTCTTCGAACATACAGTATAGCGGCAAAAGCATCTAACTCATCCAGAGATAACTTCCAGTCTTTATTTCCAAGGTGCCGATGAGCTTCAGATTCTGTACATTTCTTTATATGCAGCAAGATATCATCATCAGTAAAAAGCTTGAAAGCATAGACACTTTATCCTCAGAAATACAACTCTTTGCAAAAGATGTCGGTCCTGCTGTTTCTTTTAGAACATTATAAGCAGGAACACGGCTACAGACTGAATTTTTGGAATTCATTCCATATAGTGTTATCAGGAGCTGCAAAAACAGTTTTTCAAATACTCTGATCCATTTTTGCCCATTTATTTCTGCTGAGTTCTTTGTTTGCTTCGCTGTCCTCGAATTCACTATTAGTTTGTGTCCGGAATTCATCTTCAGTTTCTACAGAAAAAATGATCAGTTTCATCTCTGTCAGACTCATTTTCAGCTCCTGCAACAATTTTTGAATATCTTCATCTGTAAGACCTCTTTTCCGCTTATTAGACATATTTTGTAAAAGTTGAAAAAAGAAAAAAGCAGGGAAATATCAGACTATCAGAAAACGATAAGGAATATATTTTAGCATATGATTCTCACATTGTAAAGGAAAGGTGATAATGAACTTGATGACAGAATTCATATGTACTGAAATACTGAATTTGGATTACCAAGAAAACAGCTATCCTAACTGTTATCACCAATGAGTAAGCTGAGCTAACAAACATGAAAATACATGTGTAAAATAAACTATTTTTGAAAAGAAATGTAAGCATGAAAAACCCTGCATCTACCTTCCTTGCAGTATTTTCTTCAAATGAATAGATAATTGCAAACAAAGGAATAACAACTTGCATTACAAAGCAGTGAGACTACCCAGGTTTTTATCCCTTTGGGAGATATTGTGAATGCAGTCGAAAAATCCTTATCAGTGAATGTTTTTCATGGGTTATTTGACAATGCCTCTTGCAGGAAGAGGGACAGAAGTAGAGGGGTCAAAATGACCCCCATCTGCCGTTCTAGGAATACATGCCAATATTTCAAAAACTAACAAACCTAGAATGCTGAGAATTTTTTTACAAATATTTGTTACCTATTTAGGAAAAGTAAAAAAAATTCCAAACAATTTCTTCCAATAAAACAAAAGTAATCAACGGTCAAAAGTGTTCTGGGGTCAAAATGACCCCTACCGCCATTCTAGCGTTAAGGATTTGGGATCTTCTGTTATAGTTATGTTTACATAAAAGTAAAGTACTCATAGCTTCATAAAACGTGTTTGGATGACTTTTCTTTAATATTCAAGAAGAAAATGTAATATACTATTGATGTATGCTATTTACACTGGTGTGCAAAACTTAAGCAACAATGTAAATTTTAATCAGACAGCCATAAAATTGCAGAAAAGGGGTTCTTTCAATCAATACAATGAATACGCAATTCAGTAGAAAGGTCATGCGCATGTAAATGTCAGGAACAAAATGTCACAGGCGATGTGAATGTACACAAAACACGTGCACTCAACTCGAGACTACAATAAAAGGAAGGACAGATACACAATTAAAGACATTCGATGCAAGTACAAATGAGTTCTTTCGTGAAATATGGCTAGAAGAAATCACCTGGATGACTTCGCACGTGGAAGAAGGATCGGAAAGCTGGAGGAGGAGCATAGTGTCAGCAGTGTAGCTCAAGAATTCGGAATCAACAAAAGTGTCATTTTGCGCACTTGGAAAGCCTTACAAACAATAGGTACAGTTTTTAGAAAGGTTGGTGGTAGCCACCGCAGGAAAGCAACTGCTGTGGATGCCCGATACATCGTCCTGAAGGCAAAAAGAGCCCGAAACCAGTCAGCAAGTGCCATAGTTCAACAAGTGTGTATGTTGGAAAATATGACCTATTGTAACCCTTTTTCTGCATCATCTTTCCTCCTTGAAATAATTCTAACTTTTACATAAGGTTTAGTTCTTATTTTAAAGGAATATAGTAATTACTTTTAATTCGTTTTTCACTGCCACTGATTGTATTAAGAACGGACTTTTCCAGCCTAATTAAGATGTAAAAACGAAACTTGATGTTACGTCATCTGGAAAGCTGAGTTGTGCCGTTAGCTGATTGATTGCCGTGAGATAACGTCATGTCTACTTCAGGTATAAGTATCTTGCGTCGCTCTGGTTTATCCTTCTGGTTCCTGTTTCATTGCTCCGTGGTGTGCCGTTCCAGCCCCCATTGGAAGACGATATTGCGATGCATGACAGCCAGTGACTATTGCCGTGATTCTGTTCCGAAAGATGACTTTTTCTGGATCCTGAAAAGTGGCAACGATGTGAGTGACAGCTGTAGGCAGCATCCTGTTTCAACGGTTCGGCGGCGATGTTTTGTCAAGCTGTGATTTCTCGTGTGTAACTACAGTGAGCGGCTCTTTGCCGGTTTAAATGCTCTCAAGGATTTAGTTTAATATTTCAGGTGCTTTCTTGACCACAAAGCATGGACTTATTGGTAGTGAAGCAAATTTCATAATAACCGTGTTCAGTGATATGTTTTTCGCGTATTGAATGCCAGTATTTAAAGATCAGGTAAAATATTTACTGTGTCTTTAATAGTGTAAGAATCTTTAAAGGAAAAACCCTTGGGGTTGATGGATGAACAACTAAGTGTAATTTTTTTGAAAATGACTATGTTATACTCTTTAAGTTTCTGATATTGATTAAATTTATTCATTGTGGTTTTATTTTTATATATTGTTGATAAATTGGTTAAGTTTAAAACTTTTGTCTTCAATGCCTGCACAGTATATAACCTTAGGGAGCTTCTATTGCTACTTCTGCTAAATGTTTTTTTACAACTTTAAACTTTGCATTTGCATCATTTTGGTTATGGGCCCAGCCCCTGAGTTATCTTTAGTGCAGACTTTTGAAATTTAAGATTAATTTAGGACTTAAGAGACTGGGCGGCGGTTTTTTGTTGAAATTCAAATATGGCTACTGTAATGTTATGCATATAGTGTTAACTTGATGCATTAACTACTTTACATGGTCTAAAGACATGAAGTTTGTCTTAAATGAAAAAAATGCATGGCTTTTGGTGAAAGGTATTGAAAAATGTCCTGATTTAAATGATATTAAGGGTATTACAAAAGAAATTGTTGCCGACTATCAAAATAGAAGTCGTTTAGCATTATCATTGATTTATATGAATGTAAGCCCTGAATATAGGAACTTAATATGTGAAATAGATGATCCGGTAGTTGCATGGAATATGCTTGCCAAATTTTTTCAGCCAGATTATCGATCTAGACATATGTCCTTATTTTCAGAGTTGTTAAATTGTAAAATTAAGCTAAATGAAAGTATTAGTTTCTTTTCTTCTAGATTAAAACGGATAACTGAACAGTTGGCTGATATTAATCAAGCTGTAAGAGATGTATATATATGTTTTCAGTTTCTTAGGTTCCTTCCAGAAAAATATGATCAGGTAGTTCAGAACGTTTTGAGGTGGTCACATGAAAAGTTCATATTTAAAAATGTTGAACTGGAAATACTTGTAGAAGAAATAATACGTCTTAATTTAAGGGAGATAAATAGGGAAAATTCTAACAAGACTGTAGAAGTTCAAAGTACTCAATTTGAACCCAAATTTAAGCAGATTAAAGGGGTTCAAGTGTTATAAATGTGGTCGTCCAGGTCATATTCAAAAGTACTGTAGAACAAAAGGTAATTTTTCCAGATCACCCTCGTCTGCTTCTTCTGTTTCCTCAGCTGTATCTAGGAGTAATAAAACATCCCCTGAGTGTAAGAATAAACCCAAGTTGTGTAAAGGTAAAAATAATTCCCCTGCTCAGTCCCATTTCATAGCTCAAGCTAATGTTAACAACTTGGAGGAAAATGATGATAGTTGGATTTTTGATACTGCTGCATCTCATCATTTTTGTAAAAATTGTGAATTGTACGGTACTTTTTCTCCTGTGAAGAATGAGAATATGCTATTAGCTGTTGATGGGGCAACTTTTCCAATTCATGGGAAAGGTACTGTTAAAATGAAATTTGGGGATAGAATTATTTTGTTTAAAGATGTTTTATACTCACCTGAACTGAGACGAAATTTAATATCTGGTACTGAGGTGGATATCAATGGAGTGAGATTTTATGGTAAAAATGGGCAAATTAAAATTACTAATGATGAAAATGAAACTATTTTCAAGGCTAAGTTGATAGGAAGTAACTATCATGTATTCCCGAAAATAGTGAAAAAGGGGTTCAAATCTGTGAAATTTGAGGCATCCATAGTTTAGTATAACAATAGAGAATTATGGCATGGTCAGTTTGGTCATATAAATTATGGTGCTATTGTCAGGACTAGTAAGAGACATTCAGTTCGAGGTCTTCCTGTGTTAAAGAACTCACCTAATTTGTTTTGTGAACATTGCCAAATCAATAAGCAAAGACGAATCTCCTATAGACCTTTAGAAGGTATTCAAGTGAAGAGACCACTTGAAAGGGTTTTTTCTGATGTATGGGGACCTATTAAGATTATAGGTAGGAATAGCGAACGTTATTTCGTTTCCTTTATTGACGAATATTCTCGTTATGTGGTAGTGTACCACATTGTAGAGAAAAGCCAGGTATTTGAAGTATTTGAAAGGCATATAGCACGTGATAAAAGATCACTGAATCTTAAGCTGAAATACTTTAGAACTGACAATGGACGAGAATATGACAACAAATAATTCAGTGGATGTTGCAATAAAAATGGAGTAAAGCACGAATTTACGGATATATATACTACAGAAAAAAATGGAGTTTGTGAGACATTCAATCAGACGGCTATCAACAATGTACGCACAATTTTACATGATAGTGGTATGAGTCTTGAATTTTGGTCAGATGCAGTGATGTATTTTGCATATTCATTTAATAGAATTTTTCATAAAGTTCAAGATAGAACCCCATTTGAATTGTATACGAAGCGGAAACCATCAGTGCGTCACCTTAAGGCATTTGGAATGAATTGCCTACATGTGAGAATTCCAAAAGCTAAAAGAAACTCTAAGCTTGATCCAAAGGCAACGAAAGGGCCAATTGATTGGATACAGTGTACAAACAAAAGGGTACAAGATTTGGTTGGAAAATGAACAAAAAGTAGTAGAAACCCTAAACGCTACTTTAAAAGAGTCAGTTGGAATGCAGAGAAGTTGCAGTGGAGCTGCACTGGGCACCCTTCCTGATTTGGAAACTGAAGAGAGGGTCGAGTTCCAATCTACTGATACTTCAGTTGGCTATTTTCCTGAAATAGTGCTTTTTCTGCATCATCTCGCCTCCTTGAAATAATTCTAACTTTTACATAAGGTTTAGTTCTTATTTTAAAGGGATATAGTAATTACTTCATTTTTCACTGCCACTGTTTGTATTAAGAACGGACTGTTCCAGCCTAATTAAGATGCAAAAACAAAACTTGATGTTACGTCATCTGGAAAGCTGAGTCTTGCCGATAGCTGAATGATTGCCGTGAGATGACGTCATGTCTACTTCAGGTATAAGTATCTTGCGTCGCTCTGGTTTATCCTTCTGGTTCCTGTTTCATTGCTCCGTGGTGTGCCGTTCCAGCCCCCATTGGAAGACGATATTGCGACTAGTGCCATGATTCTGTTCCGAAAGATGACTTTTTCTGGATCCTGAAAAGCGGCAATGATGTGAGCAACAGCTGTGGGCAGCATCCTGTTTTTACGGTTCGGCGGCAATGTTTTTCAAGCTGTGATTTCTCGTGTGTAACTACAGTGAGCGGCTCTCTGCTGGTTTAAGTGCTCTAAGATTTAGTTTAATTTTTCAGGTGCCTTCTTGACCACAAAGCATGGACTTGTTGGTAGTGAAGCGAATTTCATAATAACCGTGTTCAGTGATATGTTTTTTGCGTATTGAGTGCCAGTATTTAAAGATCAGGTAAAATATTTACTGTGTCTTTAATAGTGTAAGAATCTTTAAAGGAAAAACCCTTGGGGTTGATGGATGAACAACTAAGTGTAATTTTTTTGAAAATGACTATGTTATACTCTTTAAGTTTCTGATATTGATTAAATTTATTCATTGTGGTTTTATTTTTATATATTGTTAATAAATTGGTTAAGTTTAAAACTTTTGTCTTCAATGCCTGCACAGTATATAACCTTAGGGAGCTTCTATTGCTACTTCTGCTAAATGTTTTTTTACAACTTTAAACTTTGCATTTGCATCAGTGTACAGTAGCGGGGCGACAAGTGTCGCGGTTAACTGTGTCCAGACATCTCCGTATCCAGACGCAGAAGGTCCGCCGTTTAGAACGCTGCATCCGTTTGAAAGTTGGCCATCAGCGCCACTGTTTAGAGTGATGCAAGGAGCACAAACTTGGACATCTAATCAATGGAGTTTTGTCCTCTTTACGGATGAGAGTCGTTTTAGTGCTACAAGAGATTCTCAATGCCCGTTGATTTGGAGAGAGGTCGGGACACGGTTTCATCCCAGCAACATCATGGAAAGAGACCTTTACGGTGGTCCTGGAGTTCTCGTCTGGAGAAGCATTATGCTGCACGGGCGGACAGAGCTCCACGTTTCCGACAGAGGTTTTGTAACCGGAGATCGACGGTGCAACGACGGTGCGAAGCAACCATTGCAGTAACAGGAGGGCATATCCCATGCTAAGGAACATCTGCTTGTTGTTCTTCCTCTTGTGCAGATAATCATGTGTAACAATACTATGAGTTCAATAAAGCCTTTTTTTTGTTTGATTCCATACTGTATGCATTGTATTCATTTTTGTGCTGCTATTGTTTTGTCATTGTTTAAATACAAAATGCTGTCTCTCATTTCTGAATTTCATGTCTCTCAGATGATTATTTGTGAAG